TATTCCATAATTTAAATTCCAGTGTTACATCAAAGGCATTTCTAATGATTTATTTAATCTACCGTGTGGCACTGTGGGCTAATGCATCAGATGGCAAAGTCATTTGAACTGCAAGGTCAGTGGTTCAAGCTCATCAGCTGCTCCCTGAAAACCCTATATAGGGTCACTATGGGCTGGAATTGACTCGATGGAACTTAACAACACCCCATACTATTTGGCATTTAGGAAGCTTCCAACTTTTTTCTAGGGCTGTAATAAATAATTTCTGTCTAAATTCCAGTTCTCTAGAAGAAAAGCCTGAGAAAGGGATTCTGCTACACGTGATTTATTGGGGAAGTAGGTCAGGGAAAGCAGATAATAAGCAAGGCTGTTTTCTCTTCTGGAGCCTAGTTTAGCTAGCGCTGGAGTGTGGATTGCCCCACAGGGTTGGATCTACTTTGAGCAAGAAAGCCACCTCTCTGTGCATCAGTCTTTGCTCTAGGTTATCAGTGTATGTGGGCGGGGAGAGGAGGTAGGCAGTGTGTGCGTAACATCTGGCACACTTTTCTAGGGAAGAGGGCCCCTGTGAGTGAGTTTTTAGCAGCCAACCGGCAGAGCAGCTCAGCAGTAGGTGTGGCAGCCCAAGGGGATGTGAGTAGGGTACCAACAGTATCCACTGCTTCTGTAGTCCCTGTTATTTCCTCTGGAGGACAGGAAATAGAAGGGTTTTATCCAAGGGAACAGGCAGATCTTTTGAGGACTTTTAGCACACATTGTGATATTTTTCTAGAAACAGTGTCCCAATTTACATTCCCATCAGCTGTAACCGAGAATGCTTAATTCATATTAAATGTTAAAAATAATTTTCTAACTTTGTCATCTTTTGTTTTGTTTATTTTTCTGTATATAAAAATCTCTTGATTATGTAATTAAATATAATAGTACTTTCCTCAATGATTTCCCCTTTTAATTTTATAATTAGAGGCCTCTGTTCTGAGATCAAATTACCTATATTTCCTTTTATTCTTTCATGTTTTCTCATTCAATATTTAATGTAATTTTAAAAAGAAGGGTCTGAAGTTATTCTTTTAGATGGTCAAATTAATTGCTTTGGTTCCATTAATGAAGCAATTTAGTTTAAGCTCAATAATTAGCAAATGCTAAAGATCTATTCAGCACAGCAGGATAAGCACTGGGTTGTTAATTGCAGCATGGCCAGAGGTTTAAACCCACCAACTTCCTATTGAAACTGACTTGACAGCAGTTAAGAGCAACAACAACAGCAAAGTTATATTTATATTGTTATCTGTTCCTGGATTTTTGCTTTTTGCCTTGATTCATCAGTCGATTCCTCCACTATTGCCATATTGTTTCAGTTGTTGAAACTTTAACCAACATTTTAATGTTTTGCTTATGTAAGTTTATTTGCATTTTTCTTTATAAATTTCTTTGGTTAGTTCCTTGAGTGTGTGTGTTGTTTCTTTGTTTCCTATGAGTTTTCTGATCATTTTATCAAGTACTAAAAACATTACATTGAGATTTCTTTTTCAATTGCATTAAATTTACTAATGATTTTGGGTAAATCAAGATATTCCAAAGAGTACATCTTCCCACATCTCTCTCTCCACAAGACTCTTTTTTATGCTATGGTTCAATTTTGTAGCTTTCTTTGCTTCATACTTATTGTTAAGTTTATTCCTGGCAGTGTGTGTGTCTAAGTATGCTTTTGAGTGTGATTTATTTATTTTGTTAGGATATACTTTCCAAATGGCTACAAGCAGATCTATGAAAATGCAGAATTTCGTAATTTTCTTTTGCCACTACCCACCTTCCCACCCTCTTACTCATCTACATAGATTTTCCATATGATCCTTTTGGATTTGTGCTGGGTCTCGCTGAATGAATGAACTGAGGGAGTACAAGTGCCATGAGATGGGACTGGTTCTGTAATGGGACGTGGTGGGGACAGGCGCCATGTTTTCTGTGTCTTTGAGCCACGCAGAGCCTGGTAGAGCACACACGTGTGTGTGCGTATGTACATTTCATCTTGGTTGCACATGTGTGTGGACCAGGACACAGCATAGCTTCTTCCTATGTCTCATTGTTAATTAGTTACTTGTTGAGCCCACCCCCACTCTTCCAGGTGAAAACACTCACTCTCAATTTTCTTTATCCTCATTTCCCAGGGGATGAAGGTGACCATGAAGTTACAGGTGAGACGAGCGAATTTCCGCCAGAGCTAGGAAGGAGGAAGCAGTGTTAGAGAACTTCACATTCACCATGATTGCAGGGACTGTGTGCTGAGGGACTCCAAGATACACCCCAAGAGACTTTCAGTTAGGACTTCCCAGGACTTTAAGCAGCTCTAGAACTAAAGAAGCCCTCTGGTCTTTTCTGTGTTTTGACCAGGTGAGTGGGTTCTTCGCATGGAGTCTGCATTGAAGTTCATACTCACTAGGGACTCAACTTGCCTTATTCTTACCATTTCTGTTACAGAATACATCAGCTGTTGTCCCTTCCACTCTGTTTCAGTTAGTAACTGAGTGCTTTAACTGTTTGTATGACCCTGGGACTCCATTGCAGAGAACCAAGACCCAAACCAAACCAAACTATCCCAAGCCTGACACCATTGAGTTCATCCTGATTCACCATGATCCCGTGTGTTACAGAGTAGAACTGCTCCATAGGGTTTTCATGGCTGTGATCTTTCTGGTATCAGCTCACCAGTTCGTCCTTCTGTGTACTGCTGGGTGAGTCCAACTCACTAATCTTTAGATTAGTCTTCCAGGGCAAACAGTTAGGGACCACAACAAGCGCAGTGGAACTCACTGAGAGATGATGTCAAAATACACCCCTCTGGCCCCACCATGGTGTCACTATGTGTTATAATATGCTTAACAACAACTGTCCTTGTTAAAATGAAAACTTCTTAGATATAATCAAACAAATTGAGGGAGTGAATCGCTAGACCAAAGGGTTCAGGACCATAGTCTCAGGGGCACACTTAGGTGAATTTGCATAATATAGTCCACACAGACAATTTCCTACATCTTGCTTTGGTGAGCGGCAAGTGAGGTATTAAAAACTTATGAGTGCCTATCTAAGGTACAATTATTGGTCTTACCCTGCCCGGAGGAAAAAAGAGTGATGAAAATCAAAGAAATATGGGAAAAATTAGTCCAACAAACGATTACATCACACAAACATCAGTCTCTATGATTCTGAGACTAGAAAAAATAGATGAGGCCTGCCTACCACTGCCAACTGCTCAGAAAGGGATCGCATTAGAAAGTCCTGGATAGCGCTGAGAAAAATGTGGAACAAAATTCAAAATCATAAAAGATACCAGGCTTACGGATTGGACACAGACTGGTGGGTGGAACCCCTGAGACTGTAATCCTTAGTCATATGACAGATTTGTAAATGATGTCACCCTCCCTATGGCTCAATTTTCAAACAAACAATTGATGATATTGTTGTTACGTGCCATCGAATCAGTTCTGACCCACAGCGACCCTGTATAGGGTTTCCAAGGAGCCACTGGTGAGCTTCAACTGCCGAACTTGCAGTTCAAACTGACATTGTAGTCCAGTGCATTAACCCACAGCACCACACCAGGACAAAATATATGTATATAGTAGTGGTTACGAATCGGGATGCGGAACCACAAGGTCAGCAGTTCGAAATTACCAGCTGTTCCGCAGGAGAAAGATGAGGCTTTCTGCTCCCGTAAAAATTTACAGTATTGGAAACCCTGTACAGGGTAGCTATGAGTCGGAACCGACTCCACGGCACATAACAACAACATATATGTATGTGTATATATATAT